GGCAAGATATAATATCAATATCCAAAAATCAGTAGGATTCCTCTACAGTAACAAAGAGAACTCAGAGAAGGAAATCAAGAAAGCAATACCATTTACAATAGCCAACCACAAATTGAGATACTTGGATAGTGAATCTAACTAGAGATACAAAAAAACCTATACAAAGAAAACTGCACAGCATTTCTGCAAGACACAGTAAAAACCTAAAGAAATGGAAAAATGTGCACTGTTCAAGGATATGAAGATTCAATCAATATTGTGAAAATAACAATCATACAAAAAACAATCTACCTGTTCAATGCAATCCCAACCACATTCATTTTTCAAGGAGATAAAAAGATAAATTGTCAAATTTATTTAGAAACGTAAGAGACCCCAAATAAGCAAAACAGTTGTGAGAAACAAAGGTGAGGTGGGAGGTATAGCACTCCCTGACCTCAAAACCTACTACATAGCAGTAGTAACCAAAACAACACGGTGCTGGTACAATGACAGGCACACAGACCAATAGAACAGAATTCAGAACCCAGAAATAAACTCTGTCATCTATGGTCAATGGATATTCAACAAGGTAATCAAAGCTATCATCTGAGGATATGACAACTTCTTAAAAAATGTGCTGCTAAAGCTGGACTTTCACCTGTAGAAAGCTGAAACAGGATCCTTATTTTCACCTCATTTGTAAAAATCAACTTAAGGTGGATCAGAGACCTGGGAGTAAAGCCCCATACCAAAAAGTTCACAAGAGACAAACTGGGATCAAGCTTAGAAGGCCTAGTCTACGGTATAAAGAGACTGCCAAATACAGTTAGAAATGCCAATCTGAAGAGGATAAAATTGATGAATGGGACCTTTTAAAGATTAAATCCCTGTGTGCATCAAAAACGTTTTACAATAGGGTGAAAAGAGAATCTACCAACTAGGAATACACATTTGGTAATACCATCTAAGACAAGAGTCTCATAACCAAAGTTTACAGAATATTCCTGGGCTTCCACAAGAAAAAGACTGATAACCCAATTACAAAATGGGCTAAAGACATGGAAAGAATTTTCACAGAGGAAGATATTCAAATGGCTAACAGACACATGATTAAATATTCCAAATCACTGGCAATTAGAGAGATGAAAATCAAAACCACAATGAGATACCACCTCACTTAACAGGACAGCAAATAATAAATGTTGGAGAGGATGTAGCGAGATAGGAACTCTTATACATTGTTGGTGGGATTGTAAAATGGTACAACCATTCTGGAAGGCAGTTTGGCACTTCCTCAAAATGATGAACACAGAAATTCCATATGACCCAACTATTATACTGCTTGGAATATACTCTGAGAAAATGAGAACTGAGACACAGGAGACTTGTACACCAATGTTCATAGCAATGTTATTCACCATCGCCAAAACATGGAAACAGCCCAGATGTTCAGCCATAATAGAATGGATTGAGAAATGATGGTACTCCAGCACGCAGGAGCATGATTTTGTAAATTATTGCTTATCTTGGAAAGGACTGGAGAGCATTATGCTGAGTGAACTAACTCAGTCCCACAAGGAAAAATATTGTATAAAACCATTATTGTAGAAGGAGTATTTTAAAGATCCAAGGGGTGAGGGAGGTTGGAAGTAGAGGGATGAGGATATGCAGTAGGGAAGGATAAATCATGGGGTCGCACAATTTGATTGGGGGGGGGATGAGGGAAATTGGAAGGATCTGGTGTGAAAAACAATGTATTTGAATTTTATAAACAAACTAGTATAAATTTTAAAAAGCCTCTGTATTATAATTTGTAAAAAAATTTTCAGAAAGAAAACATTAATCTATTAAGAAACATACATGAACTACATCTGCCAAAAATCCATTTAACTTTGGGTATTTTTTCCTTGCATTTTTTGGGTGTTGAACTTGAGGAAGGACCACCCCAGCAAAAATGGGACTCCTGGAAAAAACATTCTGCAAGTGAGGTGTCAAATTGCCTGAAAATACAAGAAATATATTTTAGGAAAAAATGTGTTGTAAAAATATATATAAGAAAACAGGTAAATTAGACTATAACAAAAATAATAAAATTGCTGTGTTATCTGCATTAACTTACTAGAAACTGAGATGAGAATAACGATTATGACCTTTAAAATGTTAAAGTTGAATAAGGAGTCATCTGAACATGTAATTTTTAAAAAGGGGATTTCTCCACCATTCTATTATAGCATATATAGAATATAGAAAGTAAAACGGGATTTCTCCACCATTCTATTATAGCATATATAGAATATAGAAAGTAAAACCACCAAGTTCATTGTCTCTCTCCAAAGTGTAAGACATAATAATATAATACTCTTTGGTAACGGGACCTCTGTTGCCCTAATTGTAAAAAGCTGTGCTGCAATCCTGAAGGAATTCAGTTTGAATCTACCAGCTGTTGGGAAGAGAATGATGGAAAATCTCCTGCCATGTGAAAACATTTGCTTTTTTAAACCCACTAGAGCCTCAGCTATGAATTGGTTTCAACTCAGAGCAGACACAACCATATAACAAAAGCACATTCAAAATTTTATGCATTTCCTTGTATCTAATTGGTTTACTAGTGAGTGCTTTTCTCCAGTTTTGCAGTCTCCTGTGTGAAGCAGTTGGATTCTGGAGGGTAGGTTATTTTGGCTTAATTGAAGTCAGAAGTAAACTGTTCATTTTTAATTTCATTAACAATTAGTGTAAGCTGACTGGCTGTTTTTATTTATTTAACAATCAGCTGTGGGCTGGAAGTCTCTTGTTAATTGTGTTTGGGGAGAACACTGTTCTAAGCACTTGTCAGTTTGCTATACTGGAATAAGGTGGAGTTGCTGTGATGCCAAAAGCTGTGTGACTGGTGTGTCAAATGCCATATGGGATACGTATGGAGGACAGGCTTTGGTAGAGATCCCTGATTGAAACTGACTAGGAAGCAGAATTGACCATCTACTTCTTAAATAACAGGCCTTTGAACATCCCATAAACACGAGAGGAATGAAATTATAGTATTATAGTGGTAGAGCCCAGACTGGAAGTCAATTGAAATGAAGAAAAACAGTAACAAACATTGCTTAATAATTGGAATGTGGGATGTATGTAGCTTCAATATTGGAAAACAGAAAATGAACAGAAAAGTGAAATGGAATGCATGAACATTGACCTATTAGGCATTAGTGAGATAAGATGGCCCAGCTTTGGCTACTTTGAATCAGATAACCATATGGTATACTATGCTGAGAATGAAAAACAGAAAAATGATGTTGCATTCAGAGTCAAAAAGGCAATTTCAACTTCTATCCTGAAACGCAGTGTTGTGGGTGATAATATCCACACTCATACAAGGAAGACCCATTAACGTGACTATTACTCAAATCTCAAATATACACTCCTACATCTGGAGTAAAAGAGGAAGAAATTGAGAATTTTTATCAATTCTTGCAATCTGAATTTGACTGAACATGCAATCAAGATGCATTAATGATGATTGGTGACTGTAATGCAAAAGTGGGAAACAGTGAAGGAGGAACAGTATTTGGAAAATATGAGCGTGGTGATAGAAATAAGGCTGGAAATTGAATGAATTTTGTATTTACAATGATTTATTCATTGCAAATACATTTTTTAAAAGACACATGCTTTGGCTATACACATGGATCTCAACTGATAGGATGCACAGAAATCAGCTTGGCTAAATTTGTGGGAATAAATCTTTGAAGAAGCTCAATATCAGCAGTCAAAGCTAGACAAGGGGTGGACTGTGGGTCACCCATCAATTACTCATATGAAAGTTCAAGTTGAGGCTTAAGAAAATTAAAATAAGTCCACAGGAAGCAAGATATGATCTTGAATCAATTCCATCTGAATTTTTTTCCCACATAAATCTTTCTTTTAATAAATAATGCATATTCATGGTTTAGACTTTTAAATCACAATTTACAGATGAGGAAACCTGTTAGGCCCACTAGAGAATAGTAAAGCTACTACAGCTGGAAGGAAGGCATGACCTACATGCGTTTTAGACCTAAAGTGCAGAGAGCTGACAGCAAGACCACCACAGATGTCATCCTCCAGGTATGTGGCAAAAGAGGAGAGCCCAGTCATGTTCAAGCCCCACCGTTTGGGCCCGTCATCTGCATGCTGCAGAGCCAATGGAAAGCTGCGCTGATTTTAGATGAACTAGTGGTTTTGTCCTGATCATTTTAAGTGAAACGTGCTGCTACTGATAGTAGTTAGGCCACGGGCATTAGCTACAGAAGGGTATTCCGCTGATGGATACAGACACTATTAGAACAGCAAAGAGGAGGTTACACAGGTAATCTTGTTTCTTTAAATATCAGAAACCTCCGTATTCTGGAAAGGGAAGATTGGAAGAAATTCCACCTCCAAGACGGTTAGTCCAAAGACTTCCTGTTGGCATTAGCACCAAACAAAGCTCCCCGTACTTCTGGCATCATCTGCTAGGCTATGAGATCCAGCTGGCTTTCAAGGGTGTTGGAAACCTTTATTTTATGATCTCCATTATAGATCTCAACACCACCAGCTATGTCCTCAGACAAGTAGGTCTCCTGATCAATTTGGACATCAACATCTTTTTTGGTGGCAATTTTGTACATAGGGATTGCTTTTTGCACAGCAGCCTTTACTAGAGGGAAATCCTGTTTCCTGCAACGAATAATCATTCGGGGCTCCAGCAACTGGTACAAACCCTGGAGGACCAGTCCATCCAGCAGCACTTGGTATCTGGTTGTATCTTTTACCACCTTGCTGAGTCTCTGTTTTGCTTCATTTAGTAGGTCTGTGATAAGGTCATCTCTTGCTCTGAGGACTTTCAGTCTTGCTTGATGCATCAAATTAGACATTTGAATTTTCTTCTGCTGCTCAATCTGCTTTTCTTTCTTCTCATAATATTCCATAATCTTCAGTCTTTGGGTTTGCACAAGATGGCCTTTCTCAATGTTGAATTCTTCCTCTGCCTTTGCATCTATTTCTTCTGCCTTCTCATTGGCTTCTTGTTCAATGAAAGCCATCATGTGCTTAATCTGTTTTTGTACATCTGCAGCGCTGAGGGCCATGGTGAAAGTGTTGCTAGGCCAGCAGGAAATAAATTCAAGTTTAGGCTTAAATGGAGCGGTAGGTGGAAACTGAGAGGAAAACCCAGCATAGGTTTCAGCTTCCTCTGCTTTACCCCATCTGAATTTCTTAAGAAATAGATTTGAGGCATTGAACACCAATGATCAAAGACCAGATGAGTTGTGGGATGATGTAAAAAATAGCATCCATTAAGGAAGCACAACGTCATTACAAAGACAGAGGAGAATTAAAAAATTGAAATGGCTATCAGTAGAGACTCTAAAAATTGCACTGGAGCATAGAGAAGCCAAACAAAAAGAAAATATGCCGAAGCAATAGAGTTGAACAGAAGATTTCAAAGGGAAGCTTAGGGACACAAAGGAAAGTATTATAATGAATGAGCAGAGAGCTGGAATTGAAGAATAGAAAGGAAAGAATTCCCTCTGCATTTCTAAAGCTGAGAGAACAGAAAAGCAAATTTAAGCTTCGAGTTGCAATACTGAAAGATGCTATTGGTGGGCAGTATATTGAAAGATCCAAAAAGTATCAAAAGAAGATGGAAGGAATCACTATACCAGAAAGAACTGATTGAAATACAAAAATTTCAGGAAGTATCATATGAACAGTAGAAGCCAGTGGTAATGGAGGAAGCAGAAGCTGCATTGAACACATTGGCAAAAAATAAGGCCCCAAGAATCAATGAGATACCAACAGACTTGTTTCAATTAACAGATTCAGCTTTGGATACCAGTCTTTTCCAGAAAATTGGAGGACAGCTGTCTGGCCAATGAACTGGAAGAGGTCCATATTTGTTCCCATTCCCAAGAAAGGTGACCCAATTGAATGTGGAAACTACTGAACAATATCATTACTATCACATGCAAGCAAAATACTGCTGATGATCATTCAAAAACAGCTAAAACAGTACATAGGTAGGGAACTGCCAGAAATTCAAGCAGAATTTAGAAGAGGCCATGGCACCAGGGATATCATTGTTGATGTCAGATGAATCTAGCTGAAAGTAAAGAATACCAGAAGAATATCTATTTGTTCTTTATTGATTATACAAAGACATTTGACTGTGTGGGTTATAATAAGTTGTGGCTGACATTGAGAAGAATGGGAATCCCAGAGCACATAATTGTGCTTATGCAGAACCAATACCTGGACCAGTAAGCTGTTATGCAAACAGAGCATGGGAACACTGCATTGTTTAAAACTGAGAAGGAGGTGTGTGTCAGGGTTGTATTCTCTTGCCTTATCTATTCAATCTGTATGCTGAGCAAATTATTTGACAGGCTGGACTCCATGAAGAGAAGTATGGCCACAGGATTGGAGGGAGACTCATCAATTACCTTCATTATACAAATAACACAACCTTGCCTGCTGAAAGTGAGGATGACTTGAAGTGCTTGTTGCAGAAGATCAAGGAATGTAGTCTTTGTCATGGATTGCATTTCTATGTCAATAAAACAAAGATTCTTACCAGTGGACTGATAGGCAACATCATGACAAATGGAGAAAAGATTGAAACTGCAAACAGCTTTAACTTACTTGGATCCATAATTAATACTCTTCATACCAGCAGTCAGGAAATGAGGCGACACACTGCACTGGGAAAAACCTGCAGTTAGGGACCTCTCCAAATTATTGAGAAGTAATGATGTCAGTGTGAAGACAAAGGTGCATCTGATTCAGGCCATAGTCTTTACAACCACTTGCTATGTATCTGAGAGCTGGACAATGAAGAAGGATGACAGAGGAATTGATGCCTTTGAGCTGTGGCATTGGAGAAGAGCACTGAATATCCCATGGGTAGCCAAAAGAACAAACAGATATATCTTGGAGAGGGTGTAGCTGGAATGCTCTTTGGAGGCAAGAATGAGGCTTTGCCTCAAACACTTTATGGGGACATGTTATGAGGAGAGGTCTATTCCTTGGAAAGGGACATGATGCTGTAAAGGGTGGAGGGTTGCCAAAGGAGAGGAAGACCATCAACCAGGTGGGTTGACATGGTGATTCCTGCAATGGGCTCTTGTGTATCAGGAGATGTGAGGATGGTGCAGGATAGAACAGGGTTCAGATATTTTGCTCATAGGCTTACTATGAGTTATACTTCACTCGAAAGCACTTAACAACAACAGCAACAATAGCTCATCAGTAAGCCTTATTGAAAAAAGTTAAATTATTAAAATTGCTTAGCAAATAAAGTATTGCATAGGAGAAAGAAAGATAAAAAGTAATTTTAGTTGTTGTTGTGTACCATTGAGTCAGAACCGACCCATAGCTGACCCTCCAGGAGATTTTCAGAAGCAATTAATTACAGGGGAGCAGATTGCCCATCTTTCTCCCATGGAGGAAATAGTGGATTTGTACCATGTACCTTCAGTATTGTAGCACAGCTTCTTACCACTAAAAAGGACTATTTGGGGAATGGTAGTCTTAAATTCTATCACCAGTTTTGCCATTAATAGTAATTTAAATTCAAAAAGTCTTATTTTTCTGTGCCTTGACTTCTTCATCTCTAAAATGCGAATGAGAATGGATTCTCATATCTCTTATGTTCCTTTCAGCATTAATCTCATAACCAGAACTTTAAAGATAAAATGAAAAAATATACTATTTTATGGCTTTGAACTGTATCTTATATAAATATTTATTTAGATGTCATTTTTATAATCCACAGTATCATCATAGTTCTAATTATTTTGCAATTACATGTTTATGTATAATTTCCCACCACACAAAGATCTCCTGAAGATTCTCATTCAAAAATACAAAGAAAACAAACCACTGAAATATCATGAGCATAGCTAACCAACACTATGTCTGGATCACAAAACAGATTACCAAATAATTAATCTTTCATAGCTAACCATCACTATGTTTGGATCACAAAATAGATTATCAAATAAATTAATCTCTGAATACACCATGGACTGTTAGGAGAACAAATAAGTTCGTCCTGCAGAGGGTGAAGCCAGGCTGCCCCTTGGAGTCAAGGATTCTGAAGCTTCGTCTGACATACTTTGGACATGTTGTAAGGAGGGATCAGTCCTTGGAGAGGGATGTCACGCGATGGAGGGTGGAGGGACTGCGCAGAAGAGGAAGACCCTCAATGAGATGGACTGATTTAGTGACTGGGGTAATGGGGATAGGTGTGTCAGAGACAATAAGATTGGCAAGGGATAGAGCAGGGTTTAGGGCTGTTGTACCTAGGGTCACTATGAGTCACAGGTGTCTGGATGGCACATAATGACAACAACAACATCAAGTTTATTGACAAATTAGATGTTCATCTATCAGGCTACCTAATGTGGTAAAAAGAAGTATTTTTTATATTCTTCCGCCAAATAAAAATGCCAAACCCACCATAATGAAGTTAATTTCAACTAATTGGGAACCTACAGAACTGCTCCCTATGGTTTCCAAGTCTGTAAATCTTTACAGAAGCAGGCTGCTACATCTTTCTTCTGTGAAGACCAGTGAGCTCCAACCACTGACCTTTCGGTTAGCTGTTGAGTGTTTACCCTCTATCCTATTCAGGTTCTTCTTTCTATTTTAAGTGTGGGTAAAAGACCACGTGACTCATCTCTATTATTTTTAAAGCTTCTTTTCAAGATAGAGGCAAAAATTTGTAGAAGTCAAAATTTAAAATAACTTTCAGGCAAATGAAGAAGGTTCTTATTATACTATTTCCCTAATCATTAACCAATAACATATGGCATTAACTATTTGTACCCAGAAAAGAAAATATTATTTGCAAAAATAGAATTTTCTGACTTCTTTACCAGCCTAAGGCATCCATCTGCTGTCATCTATCAAAACAATGTGTTTTCATGTTCTTATAAAGAAAACCTAAATTTGAAAATCAATTATAAATAATCTAACATACTTATTTTAGTCATGTAACAGAATATTTCAGTAATACCTACCTACTTTTAAAACAATTTTATGGAGTAAATCCAAATCAGAGCTGCTAGGGAGATAGGGATTTCCAGTGGCCATCTCAATGATCAAACAGCCCACAGCCCAGATGTCCACAGGTCTGAAACAGATAAGAATAGTCAATTTTTTACACAAAGTCAACATAAAATATTTGTCTTTTTAAAACTTTGAAAATAAAGCCTAAGAAAGAAATTTCTAAGTAGTTTTTTTATTGCTGTCAAGTAGATTCCAATCCACAGACACCCTGTAGGATAGAATTGAACTGTTTCATAGTTTCCAAGTTCAGATCTCTTTATAATGTTTCTCAAAATCACTTATACATGTTTATATATGAAATGAATGTATGTATATATCTCTCTATATTTCTATATCTATCTATCCTTTGCCCATATCTATTAAATCTTTATGTAAATGTATCAAGAAGCTGGACTATATGAAGAAAACTGTGGCATCTTCTTCAGATAATCCTTGATATAACCTTCCTTGCAAAAAATTGACGAAGACTTAAAAGTATTTACTGAAGAAGACTATAGCCTTTGTTACAGAGAAAAGACTGAAGCTGCCAAGAATTTTATTTTGGTTGGATCCACAATCAACACCCAGGGTAACAGCGGTAAAGAAATCAATAGATGTGTTGCATTAGGGAAATTTGCTCTCCAAAGTGCTAAAGAGCAAGAATATCAGTTTAAAGACAAAGTGCCTGATAGAAGACATAGTATTTTCAGTTGCTCCCTATGAATCTGAAAGATGGACAATGAATTAAAGAAGACTGAAAAAGAATCAAAGTCTTTGAATTACAGTGCTGGCAAAGAGTATTGGATATTCTACAGCCTGCCAAAAGAACAAACAAATCTGTTTTGGAAAAAGTACAATCAACCATTCTATAGAGGCAAGGAAGGTGAAACTTAAATCTCAGATACTTAGGGCATATTGTTCGGAGGTGTTAGGCTCTGGAAAGAGACATTATGTTGGAAAAGGTGGGAGGTCAACAAAAGAGAGGCGGACCTTCAGCAAGATGGATTATCATAGTGACTGTAACTTGAGCGTGGCAGATAAGGTGTAGGATAGAGCAAAGTACAGATCTGTTATTCATAGGGTTCCTGTGAGTCATAGTTGACTGGACAGCATCTAACAATAAGAGAGTGACAACAGTAACTCTAAAGATTAGATAGGGACAGTTATTGTTGTTGTTGTTGTTGTTGTTGTTGTGTACCACAGAGTCAAAACCAGCCCATAGCTGACCCTCCAACAGGTTTTCAGAAGCAGTTACTCACACGGGAAGAGATTGCCCATCCTTCTCCCACAGAGCAGCTTGTGGATATGAACCACATGCCTCCAGGATTATAGTTAGCTTCTTACCACTAGGTCACCAGAGCTCTCTCAAATAGGAATAGAAGTGAACAGTATATTTACGTTAATGAGGGATCAACAAGTCAGAAGGCAAAGGTAGGAATAGTTAAAGAATGTAATCAATGTCACCGAAATGTACATGTAGAAATGAAAAATGGCTCAATTGTCTGTATGTTTTGCTGTATATATTATTAACGAGAAAAACAACATACATTTTTTTTAAATAAAATGTGGACAGATACAGAACCTGGCATTTAGAAGAAATATAAATTGTTTACAGTATAATAACTTTTTGAGGAAAAAGTTAAATATGTAACACTTACTGAAGAAGATCAAAGATTATTATCATAATAGAGAAAAGATTGAAACTGTCCAGGATTGTATTTCAGTTGGATGCACAATAGACACCCAGGGTAACAGTACGGGAAGAGATTGACCATCTTTCTCCCGCTGGTGGATTTGAAGTGTGTGCCTTTGAGTGAGCAGAACAATTCCTTACCACTAAGCCACTAGAGCTCCCTAAGTTAATTGTTGGTACTCACAAAATTATTTTAAGGAGAGAACAAGGAGTAGAATAACATCCCTGTAAACAGCACAGACTACTCCTATGAGATAATAGAGACATTAATAACCTATTTTAAAATGAACTAAAAGATACTAAGAAAATGTTATAAGCCATGTTGCTGTTGTTGTTGTTGTTGATTGCTGGAGAGTCAAGCATGAATCATAGTGACCCTGTGAACAAAAGACCTTTCTATAACTATCGTTGTTTCTTCAGAAGCATGTTGTTTAGGAAGTGGATGCCACTCCTTCTTCCAAACAAGACATGAGAGAACAGCAAAAATGAGAATTCAAGAAACTCGAGCGGCAAATTTCAGTAACAAATTAGAAATTATAAATCACTTCAGAAATTAAGACTATAATAGTAGGGACTATTATTAGAGTTAAGAGATGTAACAGATAAGGTCAAATGGGGGGAAAGGAGAATTTTTTTAAAAATAAAAGAAGTAGTGAAGGAAGATGCAGAAAAATTGAAACTCTCAATAGTGGTGGAGTAATTGGAACACTCATATATTGTTGGTGGAAATATAAAATGGTACAGTCACTTTAGAAAACAATTATTGTAATTCCTTTAAAATTAAAAAAAACAAAACCAAAAACTACCAAGTGACCTAGCAATTCCACTCATAGATATGTGCCCAAAAGAATTGAAAGCAGAGACTCAAATATATTCTTAGACATCAACATCTACTGTCCCTTGTGAAAATTGCTTCACTTTTGCCATTTTTTTTAATTAGTTGTACACTTTTATCCCTTTATTTTCTGTAGAACTAATTGTCTTTATATTAGAGTTCTCTTTCACAGTAGACAGAAAACATATTTATATGTTTGAACATATAAATATGTTTAAACAGTGTGAACAGGGCGGAGAGTGTGTACGGTGTGGAGAGTGAGAGTAGGGTAGAGAGTGTGAGCAAGGGTGAGTATAGTGAGTATGTTCTAGATATAGAGAGGAGGCATCTCAGCCAAGAGAGGCACAGCTTAAAGCAATCTGGACAGATCTTCAGAGATTTCTGCATTGGTTCCCTATGGCTGGGGCCACTGAGGCCCAGAGGACAAGCATGGCAGCAGTGGTATCCAGTGCCAAAGGTGCCTATTGGGTCATTCTCTGAGGTTATCTCTAGAGGCATTTCTCTTGTTTACTTCAACCAACATGCAAAAAGAAAAGGGTGTCAGTATTGGGGATAACAGAAACACCGAGGTAAAAAGAGAGAGAGAAAGAGATGGTCAGGAAAGACTAGACAAGATTCTGAAATAAACATACTTTCCATAAGTGGTATCTTTTAATACTAATTCTGGAGCTCTATACCAGCGTGTGGCCACGTAGTCCGTATAAATGTCCCCAGGAGCTAGTGTTCGTGCAAAACCAAAATCACAGAGCTTAGTAATTCCTGATTGGGATACTAAAATATTCTCAGGTTTTATATCACGATGAATGATCTATAAAACAAACAGAAGATATCCACATGAGGTTTCATTATTAATATATAAATACATAATTTAGCATCTCAAAATTAAATGAAGCCATTAAAATAGACATAATGCTTACAAGGTAAATGTCATTCTTATAATGAAAAGTAATCTAGAGTATTTAAAAGAACTAAAATTAAACTTTTCTTAACCCCATGTCCCACTCCAGCTGTTGCCCACTCTTGATTCCTACATAGTTAAACCTCCCAACGTTACCTGTTATTTCATTCCCTTTGTGAGGACTTACTCCTCAAGATAATGCAACCTGTCTCCTGCCCCTGCTATTCTGTTACACTGCCCTAGCCAAAGTCATCAACAACTTCACAATTGCTCCATCCAACAAACACTGCTCAGTCCATTTCCTACATGGTAACTTGTTGTAATGTGCTGTGGAGTTGCCTGCGACTCATAGCGACCCTATGTACAATAGCTCAAACCCTGCTCTATCCTGAGCCAACCTTGTCGTCTCTGACACACCTCCCCCATTACCCTAGTCACTGACTCAGTTCCTCTCTTGCACCATCCCTCTACCTTCCCAATTGCCAATCACATCTCCATTCTTGAAGAACTTTCCCTTACTTTCTATTACTTACTTTTTTGAGTTGTGAGTAAAAATTTCTAAAGAAAATTGGTTTTCCATGAAAATTCTCTTAGCCTCTAAGACTCCAAACTTTCTCAGTTTCCTTCTTTTTCCCTGACAGTTCTTTCTGTACCTGTCCCAAAAATGGAGAGCTGTGGTGTTTGGCTTTCTTCTTTTCTGTTTCTCATATACTCTTACTAACTTTTTAGAAACTATCCGCATAGTGATGTCATTTTATCTTTAAATAATATGTCTCTCCTGGATTCCAGTCCCACAGGTCTGACTGAAAGGCCTTAAAATTTAGAAAATCTAAAATCAAACTCATAATTTTTTTCCCACTCAAAATTACTTGTTCTTAACTATGAATGGAACCAACATTTCACCCCACGGTCCATGCCAAAATCTGAGGCATTTTACTCATTTAGTCCACACATTATTTCAGTTTCTATACTCCTTTCACTGGCCCAGGTTACCTCAGTTCTTTCAGTAAGATCACTATCCACATCTAGCAACATGTCTATCTTCATTCTGCTCTCCTCTAATTCCTTTTATACAAAGAGACACAGTACTCTTTTAAAATTACATGTGTGATCATGTCACTTTGATTAAAACCCTTTAAGAATTTCCTACTCCACCAGATCAATTTCAAAACTCCTTAAAATGATGTATATAGCTTTCACGCCTTCTTTCTAATCTATAACAATTACATTCATTTTCCATATGTTGTTGTTGTTATGTGCC